GGAGGCGAGGGGGCGGCCCGGCGGGAGGGCGGGCGGAGGGGGCTCCGCGGAGCTCCAGCGGGGCCGCGGTGCGCCTGCTCGTCACGGCTGCTCGAAACCAAGCACGTCCCGAGAGCGCGATGTTCTGCGTCTGGGAGGTTTGCGCGTCCTCAGTTCCCACCGCTGGGCTGGCGGCGAGCGACCGCAAGAGAAACTCCGGCAGGCGAGGCCTGGGGGTGCGGAGGACGGGAAGGCGGCTCGGCGGGTGGCAAGTGAACGCTGGACTTGCTGGTCTTTCTCTTTCTTTCAGCGCGGACCTGTCGCAGCCGGAGAGCTGTCATTTCAGCACCGGGATTCGGAGGAGTTGGTGGTCCCCAGCGAGCGCGGGGGGCACGTCACGGCTCCCCAGCGGCTGCGTGTCTCCGGGTGGAACAATCCTAGTTTTTCTCAGCGAGGCTGCAGTTAACGTCTTATTTGTTCTGGCTGGAGACAGGCTTTGTCAGCACCGCGGTGCGGCGACCGAGGTTGGGCATCTTGCGTTGCTTTCTGCATGGCAATGGGATCACGCTGGTGGGGTCTAAACTTTTGTTTTGTGTTCTGAATGTATCTGATTCTTTTTCAAGTTTCCCTAGTAACAGGTTTGGGGACGGGAGTGGGAAGAAACGAGGGAAAGGGGGAAGAGAAGCTACCCGATTCTCGATTTAGCAGGAAAAAAAGGATCAGTTTCTACCACTCCGCTTTTTTTTTTTTTTTTTTTGCGTCCTGGACAGTTGGCTGACAAGTATTTGATGAACTTGCTTCAGATACATGCTGCAAAAGGTCATTCGCCTTCTGATTATGTCTCTACTTGTAAACGCGGTTGGTGGTTTGCAAAACAAGTGCTAAAATAGTGCGGTGGTGTGGGGGGAGGAGACCTAGTGGGTAATTCATGTCAAGTGTCAGCGTCTTCCTAAGGGTGAGTTGCTGGAGCCGCAGGTGAAGCTGAATACAACAATTTTTCATCATTTTTCTCTCCCTGCTTTTTCTGCAATTGTTTTTCTCTTGTTCCTCTCCCCTGGGGCGATGGGATAGCCAAGAACATTTTAAAAGAGGATTCTAGTGAAAACAGGAAGGTGACGACGGTCTTTTATTCACCAGAGTAGTTTGAAATATTAAAATTGGCCCTTTACTTCTTAATACGTGATTAATAGGGTGACCCTCTTCAAGGTTTTCTCTTCTAGGACCAGCGCTTAGAAGAACACCCTGTAAGGGGAACAGTTAATCATTCCCCATCCAGCAGGCTTTCACCATGTTCCCGGAAAATTCACTGCCGAGAGAGCAGCCTGGGTGGTGTTTTGGTTTCCTGTCATTTTTGATTCTTTACAATATTTTTTATTCATTTAAGGGAATGTGAAAGGAAAATAAGGTTTATGTCCAGGGCATAATCCAAAACATGGTGTCTGAAGCAAACACATTTTCTTTTAAAAACAAATGCCGTTCAGCTGTACAAAGGAGAGGCACATTTCATCCATTTCAACTTCCATAGAGATTGTAATTATGATATTTGCAAGACTTTTTGGTCAGTTCTGTTATTTGACCACAAGCAAAAAGAAAGAGATTAATGACAGAGGTAAAAAAAAAAAAAAATGAAGACAAGGAGAACGTTTTGCATGATTTGTACATGAAAAGGAGAGGAATCAATGGGAGATTTAGATATACTTCTATTTTGCATCTAGTGATTTCTCACATTATCTTTGAACACTGTGATTCTGATGTTTCTTAGAAAATCTTAAAGTCATGACACAGTGATGTAAGAATAACAGCCAAAAGGGACAGTTTAAAAAGCCTTAATCCCAAATGGAAAGGAGCACAAACACCCAGAGTCATTTATATTCAAGTAGAGGCAGGGCCGGGTCGGGGAGAAAGCTGCCCTTCCTAGAGCATGTCACCCTTCACACTGTTTCCCATAACCTTCATCAATTGCAGGCCCCCGAGCTGGCCTGATGATCCTGCCGAGGTATATTGATGGCAGATGATTTGTGGATGATAAGTATGCCAAGCAAGACACGGTCTCCAGTAACCCCAGGCTGGTCTGACTTGCTCAGGGGGTCATAATCAAGAATCACGAGAAGAACCGTGTCTGGAGAGTCTGGTCTCCAGACTGCACCAGCAGCACAGTGCCAAGGCCAGCAGCAGAGGGAGAGGCACCGACTCCTGTCTGCGCTGTGCTCCCGGCGGGAGCACTGCTGGCATGCTGACCCAGCGACAGAAAGAGAGCAGTTTGCAGTTACGTCATGGGCTCCCTGTGTGCTTTCCTCCCTACTGAGATGGGTCTGCTTTTAGGCTTTGGTACCTCTTGGTACCTCTTGAAGTCACCACTTCAAATTGTAATTGTCAGCCTTCACTGGCCTCTTTCACAAGTCCATGTGTGTGTCTGTGTATGTCTGTTGGTATACAAACACATATACACGCATATTTTACATAAACACACATTATATATACATGTGTGCATATGTGCACACATTGCATGTGAGTGTACGCACATACACACATATATAAATATGTAATATGTATATATGTGTTTCAGTTATAACACATATATTTGTTTGGGAGGATGATTTCACTACATTGCTTTATAATCCTGTTTAACAAAGTAAAGTATTCT